AGATTAAGTCATTAGAAGATAAGAGCCAGAACTTACCCCAAAGTTGGCACTGCAGCACAGAGAAGGCTGAAGTTTCCTTGTCATGAGAAGATTAAGTCATTAGAAGATAAGAAAGAGCCAGAACTTACCCCAAAGTTGGCACCGCAGCACAGAGAAGGCTGAAGTTTCCTTGTCACTGTTCTCTGAACTCTCTCCATTTGGGGTTTTGGCTTTATCTTGAAAGTTTGCTCAAGAAAGCTTTTTACTAAACAACGGAAGCAACCCTTGATACACAAGTGGTGGAGAGGAACAAGCAGTGGTTAACAATTAGCAGATTCTACAGTCAGTCAAACATTGGAACATCCAAGCCCAGGAAACATTAACCAGCTACCAAAGAAAAAAGGTCAGAAAAAAACAAGAAAGTGTTTGCCCAAAGCGGATCTTTATTGCTCATTGTGACATACTCAGTAAATCATGTCAGACAGCCACCAAAGTGACAGACACAAAAATAACACTGCATTGGCTGGGTGCCACTGGTGTTCTCAGAACAATATATTAGAACTGCCTTACCGACATATTTGACCAACAAAAGTAAAACTGATTCTAAAAATGCAATAAAGTCAGGGCTTGATCAGGTATTTCTGTGAGACGCTCAGCAGAGACATGAGAATCAACGAAGGCTGCAGCTCTTTTAGTTTCAGATAGTTTCAGAACTTTGAGACTGGGATTGTGAATACTGTGGGCATCTTTTTTATATAAAAATAGCTAGGAGTAACAGAAATCACAGACAGTTTTCCCTTCTGTCATTACTGCAATGTAAAGGTTTTTATAAACATGACTTTTATTGAGACTTTTAAAAAAACACTAAAAAAATCACAACACTTTTATTCTTAGAACTTTAACAGAAGGTATTTCTTCATGGACAGATCTGCATGCGTACAGCAGAAATTTTAAAAGGAATTTTAAAGCATTCTCTAAAACCTTTAACTTTCCATTGCTTGTAGCTTGATTTTACAACAGAGCTGTCCTTTTGTACAGCTACCTGTAGCCATTCTTCTAAAACGCTGAGTTTCTGAAATGTCACTTTATTTTGCTAAAAAATACAGAACAAATTCTGCAGAACAAACTAAAACAGTTAAAAAAAAAAAAGTTGTCTATCATATTTTCCCTAAGCAAAAAGACAACCACTTCCCATTTCACAGACTTCAGGAAGAACTTCTTTCCTGTGAGGGTGCCAGAGCCCTGGCACAGGCTGCCCAGAGAGGCTGTGGAGTCTCCATCTCTGGAGATGTTCAAGCCCACCTGGACACTTTCCTGTGCAACCTGGTGTAGGGACCCTGCTGTGGCAGGGGGGTTGGACTGGATGATCTCCTGAGGTCCCTTCCAGCCCCACCAGTCTGTGATTCTGGTGTGAGGCCCACAACCCTGAGCTGCAGGGCTCTTCGGCAGAGGAGCTGGGTCACCCCCAGAGCCCACAGCCGTGCTGAGGGAGGGATGGAGGGAAGTTGCTTTCTTCCACAGCCCAACTGGCCAGCGAGCAGCCCACGGTTACCTACCAGCAGCGCACCTTAGGCAGCACCCGTGGGACACTCTCCTGGCCCACAGCTGAGCACATCTGCGCGTCCTTGGAGTCCCTCTGGGGAGGCGGCTCAGCCTGTCCCAGTGCTCCACAACCCTCTGGCTGAAGGAATTTTTTCCTAAAATCCCAACTAATCCTGCCCCGGCGGGAAGGGGACCCGGGAGTGACCTCCCCCCGGCCGAGCCCCGCGCTCCCGCCCTCACAAAATGGAGGCGGGAAAGGGCGGGAAAGGCCTGAGGCGGCGGCTCCCCGGGTCCCTCAGACGAGGTTTGGCCGGGGGTGCAGGGCCAGAAAGGCTGTTGAACATCTCAAAACCTGGTGCACAGGCCGTGTTTTGTCTCCCTTCATGAAAATATGTTCACAAATGCAAGCGAGACTAACCAAAAAACAACCAACTCTTGCAAAAAAGCTGCCTGGCTGATCAATTATTTGACCTCAAAGTGAAACGCTGAAGGGTTCCAGTTGGTTCAAGTTCCTTCTGCAGGATTCCTAAAGTGGTTACAGTTCTGGCTGTTAGTCAGCTTCAACCTCCCAGGAGATGTCTGTGTTACTAAAATCGTAGGCAGTGTTTAAAAACAGCTGTTGTCATGAATATTAAGAATGTTGCTGAAATGGGTCACTGTTCCTCGAATACCACAGGGAAGCAGTTTATGTAAATGCAGATTTCCCCCTCTCTATTTTTGAAGAAAAAGAAAAAAATAAAACCAAAACAACAAACCCTGGGAATACTTTACAGGTTTCTGAAATGAGCAGGCAGCATTTCTTGCAGCAGGACACGGCGTGAGTGTGAAAACACGAGCTTATTGTCGAGGCCTTTGATGAGTTCAGAACTGCACCGCATCTCTCACAGATCTGCGAGACGAGGGACCTCCACATCTGCTCCTCTGCCAGGATGTCCACCAACTAAAAAAAGCTCAACTAGAACATGTCAGGGATCATATTTTCGGTCTACACCTGTTAAAAGTCAGTTCCCTGCCTGCACCGTGCAGGTAGTTTGCTCAACTTTTCCTCTGACTTTCAGGTGATTATGATAACTTTTATAAGCTATTTGGGATGGACAAAATAAGCTGCAAGGAAGCGAAAGCTTCGTTAGACAGGATTAGTGAAGTACAATTGTGAAATATTAATGTCAAGTGTCCTTTTTTCATAATGACAGAGTCTGCAGTCTCTAGATTTGGTGGCTGGGGGACAGAGTTACTTACTTTTCTCCGCTGCAAAGTGATCGCAGGTCGTCTCTTGACATGAACTGATTTTACCATACGGCAGCTGCCTCGGTTTCCTACACATCACCACTTCTTTTCCACTGCTTCAGGTTTCACTTGACACGGCGGATCACACTTCTCTGACAAAGACCAGCGGCTGCTTATGTGACAGGAAGGTCTGAGCTTGCCTCGCCTTGCCCTGGAGTGGGTTTGACAAATCAAAATTCATTGGTATTATCACATTTGCAAGAGGATTTTCGCTGTTAGAAACCTCTCGGGCTGTGGCCAGCATTCAGCACTAATAATACCACTAACTTTTTAGGCAAGAAATCAGTAGTGCTGTCTACCACTGTGACCTAACAGCAGCTGGGAACCAAGGGGCTGTCCTACTTAAAGTGCAGTTCATGGCTGGGTGGGAAGTACGTGTTTAGCTCAGCAGTATTCCTGTAATCAGGTCATTCCTTACTTGTCTCCCTAACTGCAGACCAATTTTATTTTTTTTCTCCATGTCCCCATCACCATTTCAGAATATAAAAAACCTGAGCCTGGTGTAGATTCACACCAGCTTCTGTCAGACTGCAGCAACCACAGATTGGTTGTGCCTGGTTCTTCACAAATAAAAGGACTTTTCCGGGGTGTTAAGGTACAGAAACGCGGCTCTGGACAGCTGAAGGGCAGTAGCTATTGTCTTCAACTGATTTAATACTGATTTACAGGATGTAAGAAAAAAATAGGTGTGAGGGATCTAACTTACTGCTGGCTCAGGCACACCTCACAAACTCTGAGGAGGGATGCTGCAGGGGCCATAATTCAGGTAGATGCAATAGCAAGCTCACCACCCACTGACCAAGCCCAGCCCATTCCCGGATAAAGATCCCAGAGGAGTGACAATCCCAAAACTGAAATTGTGGGAAGGCACTAGAGGATACGCAGCACTGCAGCGACTGAGTCTGCTTCCTCTCAGTATCAGGTGAAAAAATTGTGTGAAAGGAGGACTCAGATTCCAGCTGCTGCCTGCAGGGAGAGCAGATGGCCAGGTTTAAGGCTTTGTGACCCAGGGAGAAGGTTTTGTGTGGATAGGAGGGGTAGGACTAAGGAAAGTAAGGACTAAGGAGAGGTTCAGTATGATTCAGCTGAGTGAATCGGCGTGATGGTAGCACTTGCTCACTTTGGGGTTCAGGGTGTAAGGTGATGGGAGTCATGAGAATATACAGAGTAGAGGAGAATATTAGCTCCTTTCACTTTACACAAAATCCCACTTCTTGGGAAGATCAACAGCTTAGTCTTTGTCAGGGGCACAAGCGGCTCCATGTCCCTCAGAGGGAGAGGACCCAGACAGAAGTTGCACACAAATGCATTTTATTGCTCTCTACAAACACAGAGACGCATACACAGTATGCACATAAGCCATAGGGCTGTCCCAGTAATGGGAGAAACACTATTCACCATGAATTAAACCACTCAATACAGACAAAAATCATTATTATAATGAAAATGCTAGAAAAAGCATAGCTTACACCCAAAATGTATAACATTGACCAATTGAGCCTTTTACCTACTACCTTTTCTTTAACATAAAGCAGTAACATACTCTTTTTCTAAATCGAAAAAAGCAGCAAAATAGTGGAAATATTCCACATAGTTTCCTAGCTCCTGTTCGTCTGTCACACTTTATATACTAGGACTATGAAAGGATCATTGGGGGAAAAAATCCAAAACACCAAACCAAAACAAAAACCATCTTTGATGTTGTACAAGTTCTAAGCAAACAGAGGGAAACTGATTTGAATCAAGTACTCATTAACCAAAGGGCCGTGAATTTACCCTCCAGAGTGACCGAGCAAACAAACATCACTAGTCAAGCCAGAGCAAAGCTGATGGCTCTTACAAGCAATAACAGAGAAATCTCTCCTACAGCAATTCTCATCCGTCACAACTGTAACATTGACAAAAATACTCTCCTTCATTTTGAAGACATTCACCCCCTGACTGGGCAGCAGCTGTGGGCTCTTACCACCAGCGTCTACACGGCTTCAAGACCGCTCAACAGAATGCCTCAACTTTTGCCAAAGGATCCCATCAAAGTCACAAGCATGCCATTCTTTTCCCACATAAATTAAATACACAGGGAAATAAAATTCCCTACAGAAGAGAGGATCAGGTCTGGACTATCAGATGCAGTCAGATCCTTCCTCTGGACTGTAAAAGGCAAAGGTCCATGAAGTAAAGGACTCTCCTGACTACCAGGGTCTCCAGAGAGTACCGGTGTCTTTCGGAGACGCTTGCTTCAGGGTGCTGGGCTTCCCCGAGGAAAAGGTGACCTCCCCAGCAGCCGACTGGCTCTTCTGGAAATGGCTTAAAAGTTTGGTCTGTGTTTCAGTTCGGACTTTATGAAGAGAAAGGAAATGGAAAGCTTCTTGCAAACACCTGGAATAGCCCTCTCTGAAGTCAAACTGAGAGCTTTTATGGAAGGATCCTGCAGCTTGAGAAGGGAAGAGGGAAGGGGAAGAAAGAATAGTTTAGAGCAACTGTTCATGGTTAGAGATTCATAAAACTGTCACAGATTTGCAGTAAGCTAGAGACTAAAGCAAAACTCAATACTCACTCTTCATCTGCAGCTGGCTCTGCTGCTTCAGGTAGCTGACGGTCATCTCCAGGATGTCGGCTTTCTCCAGCTTGGAGTTGGGCTGGTGTCTCTGAAACTCCTTCTCCAGGAGCAGTTTCAGCTGCTCGATGCTGCTGTTAATCCGGTCACGGCGCATTTTCTCCACCACTGGCTTCCTCAGCTGCAAAAAGCAAAGGGAAAAAGATGTATTATTAGAAGGATCTTCTCTCTGCAATTTCATGGGACTGCTTGTTGCCCATCACTGTTCCTAAACATGGACCAGTTTCTCAGCTGGTGTAAACTGCTATAGGAACAGCTGAGAGCGTGGCTCGAAGCTGCCTTGCTGGGCCTGGACTTACTTTGTTTTTCTCCTTTGGTGTCAGCAGGTTGTTGGGCTCCATGAAAACTGTGCTGGGAGCCATCTGTCCTGAGAAAGGAAGGAAGGTCTCAGAGTGGAAGTCCAGGAGAAAGGTGTTGCTGGAAGCTGCCTCTGCCCGATATTTATACTGTGCAACCTCACTGAGAGCCTGTGGGTCTCTGGCTCGGTGGAGTTTCCCACACTCCACAGCCAATCCGGGAGATAGGCTGCACAATAGGAGAAGCATCTATTCTTGCATGCTCCGTTGGCAGTGAATAGCCTGGGGATAATGACCTTCTCCCAGATGAGCAGGTGGGGAGTGTGTGGTACGTGAAAGGCTGGGATCAGAGTTACGTGTCAGAAGCTGGGAAAGAGCTGGCCTTCAATGGGAAAAGGCTGCTGACTAATGCCGCAGATCAATAGCGTTCCCGACGCGGCCCCGGGTTCACACGCGCGGAGGAAGGAGGAGGTCAGCTGCCGATGGCGGGAAATACCCCACTGCGTGGGGCTGCGCTCCTCTCGGGGGACGCACGGAGGCACACGCTTAAGCATGCACAAGTGCACACACACACACAAGCATCTTCTGGCTTTCTGAGATAAAGAGCAGAACTTCTTTAAATCCACTCACCTTGTTTCCTCAGTCAGGCAGAGCCAGTTGTTGTCCCTCAGGCGGTTGTGACACCAGTTTTGCTCCTGTGAAACAGAAAACAGCTCTTCCAGCTTGGCTTATTGCAAATAAATACATTTAAGTGTGAGTACACACAGTTATTTAAAACATTTTCTGTTTTGATCTTTGTTCTCTTCCCTTGATATCTTATGCTCCTCTTCAGAACACTCTCAAGCCACATCACTGCACTTTATATTTCTGTTTTCAAATACCTGCAAGATAAATCCACGAGGAGAAGGATCTCAGAGTGTTTTGGGATCAGTTCAGTCTCACATGCTGCTTTCTCACTTCCCCCCAAAACATGTTTTACTCTAATGATTTTCATTTAATCTATGCACAAAGGTGAACTGAGTGCAGAAGAAATTCTCATGGCCCGTAAAATTATTAGAAATCAAATTCCTGATGCCTCATTCTCCACTGGGGCAGTTTCTACACGGAGGGGCACAGCCTGTGCTCAATAGGTGCCTGCAGCCGGAAGCGTTAACGGTCTCACTGTTTGTACCCTATAAACACACAGCAGAGTTTCATGTTGGAAAACTTGAAGCAGACCTGCCTGTATTTATCCTGCCTCCTGCCCAGGCAAGTACCACTTTCTTTTGTGAGCTCTAACCTCACAGGAACAGCTGAAGAAGGAAGTGGCAGCCAAGTGTTTTCTGCATCCCTGGACGTGCACCCTGGGCTTGGGGAGCAAGACTGACCCCAATCTTGCCCCCTTGGAGCAGAGGAAGGGGGAAGCGGGCAGGCAGCAGTGTTAACCACACAGCTGGTGGTTCTGGTCCCAGACTGACTCCAAATGTGCTAAGTGACCTGATCTGCTCAACACACTTCTCTCTGAGCATCTGTATCTCCTTCCCTAAGATTCAACATGGGAATAATAATAATCAGATAAATTACTGGCAAGGAATGTTAGGGCTTATGCTTGGGGATCACTTACTGAAAAAGAAAGGGTAGTAAGTAAATACTGTTTGTGTTTACAGCAATATATGTGTATGTGTGTTCACATATATATTAATAAATACATGTGTGGTGTTTAATGTGAATACACATGCACACGGACACATTTCTCTCTTACTCTGCAACTCAGACCAGGTAAGGCTTCAATGACCTCTTCCAGGACCTGCCTCCATCCCCATTGTGCTGCTCCTGAATAGGCTGCCTCCTTTTCGTACAGAGCAGCAGCTGTTGAGCTCCAAGTCTTTTATGTCAAGTTGTGGGAAAGCTTTTGTGACACCGTTTCACATGTTCTCCTCAAAGCTGGTGGATTATCTCTGAGCCCATGTAATGCCACCTCTGAAACCAATCTTTTGCTCTGTGCATCCCTCGTGGGGAGATTCTCTGAAACAGAAACCTCTGAGTAGTAACTCATTTCTTGAGCTTGTTAATCAAGTGCATGAAGAAGAAATGTGCCGATCCCGTGATCAGCAGGGTCCACTAGCAGTTCCACTAGAGACAGTTTCTGTTTTACAGAATAAATCACTAAGAAGCAGCTGTAAGAATAGCAATAATTTCCTCTTCCAGCACAAGTCACATAAGCAGGCACTCCAGTTGTAGTCCAGTAAAGCTGTTTAAGGTGTCAGATGCCTTCCCTGTGATTTGCCCACAATACACAACAGTAAACTAAACCTACTGCTCGGGAATCCGAGTGTTGTTGCAGTCCTCCATCACTGGGCTTTTATTTTAGGAGAGGACAAATTAACTTCCCCTGATAAAACTGTAGTAGAGCAGATGTCTGACACGAGTGACTTGATCTGCCTTTGGCTTTCGTCTGTCACACTGGTGGCTCTGGCTGTTTCTGGGATTTGCCCCGTGGTTCTGGAGATGTGAGGGAGGGCGGTGAGAGCCCGGAGCGGCTGTCACTGCTTGCGCCAGGGCAGCAGAGCATCCCGACCAGGTTGAATGCATTGCCACCCACATCTGCCACTGCTGATTCCACCTGGGATCTCCACAGCACCATTTCACACATGAACCTCTTGTTTCTCCACTCAGCACCCAGGTGATTACAAAGTTCAGTCCACAGGAACAGTCATGCTAGCCTAAACCACCTTACTCTCCTTGGTCTTGGTCGAAATTTTGCTTAATTCACTATTACAACATTTAGCTCAAGTTAAAAGAGAATGAAAACCTCTATCTCCTTTCTTGCTCCAAGACAGTAACCTCCATATACTTTGGGGACTAGGTGACCTTTAAAGTTCTCTTCCAACCCAAACCATTCCATGATTCTATGATAAACCTTCCTGAAGGAATTCATTGTATGGGATTAAAATGCCTGCTTGATTTTTTTCCAAGATCCCAAGCATCAAGTCCTGTTCCATTCCTGTTTACTTCAGATGTGACAGACCTTTTTTTCTCCTGCTGTTTGGTAAATGCATGGTAAGGCTTTGTCACCTTCAGACCTCCTGCCTTTAACTCTGCCAGTGACTCAGAGGAGCACGAGTCTGCAAGTGAAGACACACCAGCTCCCTGACCATGCGTGGATGTGGCCAGCCCCTTGACACCTGTACTCTCAGTTTAGCACCTGCATGCTGGTGCATCTACAATAAAAACTTACAGTTAAAATAGCTTTTTATTTTCTCTTTTGTTTCACACTCTGTGAGGGGAAAAATTACCCAATTACTGATCATCTTGGAAGAGTTACTCAAATTAGATGCTCGGTTACCCAAAAATAGATGCTCTGCTTCTACTTTGGTTGGAAATCCTAAAGAAAAGTGGTAACAAAAATTCCTCCCTACTGTAAAGTTAGCAGAGTCAGTGGACTTTACATGAAGATTAATGAATTCTGAATTTGACACCTTCCACTATGGTTCCAAACATGCAAAATATTGCAGAGAAAACTTACTGGGATCCCAAGATACTGGATGTGGACAATGTGTTTGAAATATGGCATTAGCAATAACCTTCCCCCAGAGTCTCTGCCAGATGTTAGCTCTTTAGGAAGACTTAAAAGATGATGCTGCTGCTCTCCCGAGTCTGGAGAGATGCTGATTGCTCCTCTCCTGATCCGTGCTGCCCAGATGGCCTTTTGGGAGCAGGGTTTCCCACTGAACACAATGCAGAGGCAAGCACCATTGCTAATGTGGTTTGTAGTCAGGCACACTTCCTTTGTGACAGGAATGAATATAGTTAAGAAATGGTGTGGGAAACTCAGAGGTACACAAACTTCCACAGCCTTCTGTTAGTAAGTCATTTAGAAAGCTCACAGGCTTGGGGAGCAGCAATGCTTCTGCACAGAGAACAGGCAAGACAGCAAAATGGAGGAGACTCAATTAGCACTGAGTCCTAACGATCATCCTGAGGTGACACAGCAAACAGGTCCAATCTCTAAGGGCCTTACCTGGATCCTCATGAAGTCAACAGAAACTCTGGACTCCATGAAGGCTGCATCAGACTGCTAGATTTGGCCTGCAGCTTTTGTACCTCCAGAGCTATTTCTTGATCTCCAGTAAACTGGTGTAAATACAAATTACCTCTTCACCTACAGTGGAGTTTATCAAAATCCTAATCAGCAAAATATGAACCCGAATTTTCACCTGCCAAATACCAACACCAGAATCTCCTCTACTGTTTCCCATTTCTTTCAGACGAGCAATACAGAATAGCTTAGAAGTATTAATTAAGGAAAAAGCTTCCCCATAGTATTACTGCTAGAAAATCTGTTCTAATTTTCTTAAAAGCCAAGCCCACCTCCTGCAGCTCTACATGGGTCATACAAAAGTATCATGATAGTCTCATGGTCCATAGGAGTCACCGTTTTCCCTTAGCACTGTGCTGCAAAGATGCACAAAAAGTCGAGTGACCCCTGGCAGCAGAGGCTCTTGGCATCTGTCAGTGACTCCATGGACAGTCCTAGCAGAAAACCACGTTATTCCTCTGGGCAAAGCTGAACTGAGGCAATGCCTCACCTGCAGCAGAGGATCTCCACGCTGGCAGGAAGAAATTGGTCCTGTATTTAAACCCCATATTTAAATTCCAGCAAGCAGCAATTCAGATGAACATGCCAGGGCAATTAAGGATCAGAGGAGCTGCTGTGTCTGTTTGCAACAGTTTGCACAAGCTTATGAGCAGCTTGACTAATATCACGGGTCTGTTTCCTGGGATATATTAAACAAATCTGGGGAATTAAAGAGGCAAACAGAATATGTAGCTCAGAAATCTCAGTGAGGGTCAAAACCACCTCAGCCACCTTCAGTGGGACAATTTTCTTTGGCCTTACTGGTGGGTGAGCAAGATTCTGCTCCTGCAGCTCCTTTCCCTGCCATTTCCTCCTCGCCCTTCCTCGCTCTGCCGCCTGGCAGTCCCTTCTTTGAGTCTGGCACAATTTCTATTTGTCTGTGTAGCTTCCTTCACTTTTTTTTCCTTTTATCGGGGTTTATTTCCCCTTCATGAAGTTTTTATAATCT